GAGCTGAAGCACGGACGCATCGCCATGCTCCTCGGCCGAAGCTTCGGACCATGAGCAGTATTACCATTATTAGGGTTTAGGGTTATCGTCATTGTTGTCATCACTGTTATCATTCTTCGTATTTAATCTTTTTTTTTGCTTTTCAGTATTGTTATAGCTGTTGTCTTAACACTACTGCTGTCTTCTTTTGAAGGCTTCTGGGTCCGTGTTGGATACAATTTTGCATTTTTGTTATACTAAAACCCAGTAAGGATGAAAGTGATCATTTTTAATATAGCCCTAGACAGCGACGTCGAAGCCTTCCATGGAGGTCCAGGTTTAGGGCTTCCGGTGGGTTTAGGGTTTAGGGTTTCAGGGTTTAGGGTTTAGGGTTTTATGGCATTCAGTAATATAGGGGCCTTAAGACGTACCTCTTAATATAAAGGGCGCTATAGTATGGTTATGGTTTTCTGAGTTCACTAGGGATCAGGGGCGGGGAGGTAAGCAAAAGCAGATTGGGGTCAAGGGTTTAGGGTTTGGAGGGTAATGTGCCTAAACCCTAAACCCTAAACCCTAAACCCCTAAACCATCTAAACCCCTAAACCCCAAACCCCTAAACCCCTAAACCCTAAAACCCTAAACCCTAAACCCTAAACTCTAAACCCTAAGCCCTCCTAAACCCTAAACCCCAAACCCCGCACCTGAAACCAGAAGCCGACATCCAGCCCGAAACCGGTGGACCCGTCGCTCTCTAGGGCGATGGCATTTCCACATATGACAGGATGGGTTTAGGGTTTGGGGTTTAGGGTTTAGAGTTTAGGGTTAGGGTTTAGGATACCCCCCCAAAAAAACAATCCCACGCTCTGAGTCCTTTCCCCTCAAGCTAAAACTGAGCGACTTTGGGTTTTGGGTTTAGGTTTCGGGTTATGGGTTTAGGGCCTTTAAGTTTGGGTTTTAGGGCCACTTTCCTTTTGCCCTGCCCGAGGTTGGCGACGGTGGGCTGGATCGCCACGGACCTCGGCTTCCGCTTCCCCGGCGAGAAGTTCCAGGCGCACCGTTGTCATAGGGTTCCTTGAGGGCCTTTGTTTTGAAGGGTTCTACAAGGGTTTAATCCCAAAGTTCTGTGAGGATTCTACGATCTGGGCCTGAGTGTTTATTAGGTTTCTCATACCATAAAGTGCAATAAGGTGCTATAGCCTCGGCGAGGGTGCATAGAGTTTAGGATATCAGGTAAATTTTTGATGTGGTATAGCCTGGAGTTCATTTGTTTTCCAAAGCGGTTTGTTTCTTTTTGAGTTTAGGTTCAAGGGTTTGCGATCCTGTAGATTGTCCTGCGCGCGTGTTGCGCATGACCTTGCCTGGACGATAGAAGCTTGTCGAAGGTTGTATATTATATGGGAATTTCCGCAAGCATAGAGAGCCAACTTTAGTATAGATCTCGAACACTAAATAGTGGTTTAAGTTTAATTAAGTATCCGCTAATGTGTAGTGTTGGGTATTTGGGAAACAAATGTAGGCTTCAAGCATTGTAATGTAAGGACCCATGCATAAGGTATCCGTAGTTTCAAGAAACTCTCATACCACTCATGAGCCGGAAGTGCCTAGCGGCTTCTTGCAGACGACTTCGGACAGTTTCCGAAGGTACTTGGACGGTGTAGTCCGGGAGTGTCGGGTCCCACAAAGCAATATTCGTAAATTGACGTTCGCTGTTCGGCACGTATTCTAGGCGTTTGAAGCCCTGAACCCTAAACCCTAAAGCCCTCAGCCCTAAGCCCCAAACGACCCCCAAATCCATAGGCTCGAAGCCTCCAGGCCCATTGCCTCTTAAGATCAAGCAACCTGCCTTAAGTCATGTTGAGGACCGTTCCTGTAGTCTTAGGTAGTATTATTAGGGGTACCCCTTAAAGGGTACCCCTTCTGAACCTTACTTTTGGCTCTCTTAAAAGGGACCATATTGAGAGGGTCTATATCCCCAAGGGTCCCCCTAATCCTAGCTCCCAAGTCTAAAACATCTTGCTTAGCTGGGCTAGGTCTCCTTAGGATGCCGAGACGCTTGGGCGAAGCCCCTTCAAGCACACAACGAGTAGCAACCCTTGTGCAAACCCGTAAAGGGCCCCGTAGAGAAGCCCAAGTCCAGTTTTGGGTGTTGTTTCAGGCTTTAGCGTTTTCAGGGTCCGGGCTTTTGAGGGACTTGTAGGGGTTGAGGGTCTTTAATGCCTCAGGCTCTCCTTTATGCTTCTTAATTAGCTCGCAACTGCAGTCCTCAACAGCAACCCTAAAACCCTATACCTAAATCCCTAAACCCTAAACCCTTATAATCTTAAAGCCTAGACCCCAAACCCTAAACCCTACACCCTAAACCAAAGCCCTAAAACCCTAAACCCCTAAACCCTAATCCTAAAGCCTAGACCTACACCCTAAACCCTACACTCTAAACCCTACACCCTAAACCCTACACCCTCAACAGCCGTAAGCAGCCCCAAGACATCGATGGGCTACGAGTTTGCTGTCGTTGGCTCCCTAGTGGGGGTTAGGGCGTTTGGGGGCGTTTAGGTGTCAGGGCTGCTAGGGCCTGCAGAGGTTTAGGGCTCTTAGGGCTTTTGCGGCGGTTTGTGGTGTTCGGGTTTGGGTTTAGGGTTTAGGGTTTAGGGTTTAGAGTTTAGGGTTCAGGGTTTAGGGTTTAGGGTTTCGGGGCTTGGGATTCGGGGCCCCACCCAAAGTGGATGTGAGGCTGTCGCCAATTCCGTCGAGGCGCATGACAAGATGCTTGGCCTGTCCCTTCTTTTTCTTGACTTGGATCCTCAAGCCCTGGATCCTCAAACCCTAAACCACACGCCCTAAAACCTGAACCCTAAACCCCTAAACCCCTCAACCCCTCAAGCCCTCAACCCCTAAACCCCTAAACCCTGAACCCTAAGCCCTAAACCGTGTAAACCCCCTAAACCCCTAACCCCCCTAAATCCCTAAACCCCTAAACCCTAAACCCTTAAAACCCCCTAAACCCCTAAACCCCTAAATACCTAAATCCCTAAACCCTAAACCCCCCTAAGTCCCAGGATGGTGGAGGCCGGATACATGCTCCCCTTCTTCGGGGCCATTGGCATCTTCGAGCTCTTTGCTCTGCCCCTCGGTCTGCGAGATGTTGTGGACATGTCATTTCAATCAGGTGCGGTTTAGGGTTTCGGGTTTCGGGTGTTGGGGTTTAGGGTCTAGGGTTTAGGGTTTAGGGGTTTAGGGTTTAGGGATTAGGTTTGAGGGTTTAGGGCTTCAGGGTTCAGGGTTGAGACTCTCTTGGCATCTGTTTTCTGTTGGGATATGGGTTTGGATGATGTGGGTCCAAGAGGGTGTTCACAGACCGTTTAAAATTCCAGTGAGTAAACCCTCGACACTCTGTACTACCGGCCTATTCTATTTTGGGGCTCCTTCCTATCATTATAGTATAATATACCCCAAAACCCTATTCTAATCATTAAGGCCCCTACATTAGACTGAGGTGGCTCTTCTTCCAGTCCTGGCCGATTGGTGACGGCATCAACAGGGAGGTGGGCACTCCACTTTCGCTTCAGGCTTTTTCGCTTGATGGACAGGGCTGATGAACAAACCCTTTTGGGGCCGTCACAGCAGGATCCAAATCAAACTCGAACCCGAAACCCTAAACTCTAAACCCTAAACCCTAAGCCTCAAAACTCTGAAACCTACTCCTCGAAAAGGCAGGGAGCGTTCGCGAGTTAGGGGTCTTCAGTGCTTGGACCCCCGCAGGTCCAGGAACACACAAAGTATACAACGTAAGCAGTCGGAAGGTACCTCTAATTCCAACAAAGCCCATGTGAGATTAGATCTTAGAGCATGAACCCTAACCCCCCAGGTACCGACTATATAGGGTGCTAGAGCCCCTAGGGCCCTATATAGTAGGTACCTGGAAGGTTAGGGTAAGTGTGTCTGGCAAATCTTCGAGATCGGGATTGGCATTCCAGAAGTTTATGCTGTAGGGCTGTAGGTTGGGGGCTTGGGATCAAGGCCTCTTGAAGCCCCACAACGCCCAACGGTTTAGGGTTTAGGGTCAAGTTCCCTACCATGCTTTGCAGCATACGGAAGCCGGCTTAGGTTTAGGGTCTCGGGATGCTGTGCTGTGGGGGCCATAACCCTAAACCCTAGGCCCTGAACCC